TTTTTTTTTTTTTTTTTTTTTTTTTTTTTTTTTTTTTTTTTTTTGTGGAAAACCTTGATTGAAACTTTTGAAAAAGATTAAGAGTAAAATTAGAAAAAATCTAAAAGATTTAAGAGAAACTACCGTAGATAAATCTATAATTTATTGATCTATTTAGAAACTAATTTTTGAAAAAGTATTAGAAAGGATCTTCTCTTCTGTTATAGAAGCTCCGAAACGACCAAAAGGCTAGGCAGCCTGATAATTAGATGGGCTGGGCCCATAAAGGGCCAGCCTAGAGAGAGATTTGGAAAGAGAGAGACGGCAGTGAACATACCGCTTGCCGTTAAGGAGGTGTTCGGAAGGAGAATGCCAATGCATTTGTCTGAGGGTGTAGTTTTTCTCATCTATGACAGCTACTCCACCTGTTTTCTCCCCAAAGTCCACCTGATTTTGATAAAGGAAAAAAAAAAAAATGTCAGTATGGCTTTTACTTTTTGATTTATTCTTTCTTTTAAGGGAAATATGTTCATTTAAAAAATTATAGCTATACAAAACATTTCTCTCTGTTTTGTTTTGTTTTTCATTTTTGAAGAAAACCAATATGAAACTGTTGGCTTTTAAAAAGTTAGTATCAAAAATTAAGAAACAAGAAGGTTAGAAAATATGTCTACATGCATGTCATATTTATGTGTCCGGCCATAGGGACAAGAGAGACTAAAGAGAGCCAAAAAGTTATAGGTTTAAAAGGGCAGACCCCAATGTTAAAGCCATTGTTGACAAGTGTAGCATTAGCAGTACTGTATCTCCTGACTAGTTTTTGAAGATGCTTGCCAAACACGGCGCCGTCCTTCACAATGTCTATTGGTGACTGTGATTTCCCTTTGGAGCAAGTTGCAAATTTCGAGCTCATGCTTCCCCAGTGTTCAGGCCCACTCGAGCCCTCATAAGAAAATGTAACGGATTGCTCGTTCTCTGTCCACCCAAAAGCAGGAAGTCAAAAACAAAAACCAAAAGAACCATTTCTTGAATAAAAGGTTAGGAATTCCCTTCCTTCTGAAACCGTTATCCCAGAAAGACAAACAAACAAACAAATCCTTAGTGTTTTATTTCCCGGAAAGGAGAAGAGAAAATTCCAATGGAAAAAATTAGGAAAAGGCTTACTTGCGTGGGTTTGCACGAAAACACCAATAAGTAAAAGAGAGAGAACAAAAATAGAGGAGACTGAAGGAGCCATTATTGCCAACTCTTAGCACAGCTGCCCTCCTTTTGAAACAATATACAAATAATGGAGGTTATATATACAATAAATCCACCTTTACATGGAGAAATATGGGGCGGTCATGTGGTGGTCGTAATTCCTCTTTCTCTCTCTTTCAAGCTGAGAATGAGAGAGAGAGAGAGAGAGAGAATGGAGGGGGTGGCTAAATTTAGAGGAACTGTGAGTTTTGTTTAAAGTACAATATTTAGGTGGTGCGTGTTTCTTTTGGAGAATATAATGGATCACCTTGGCTTTACTTGTTTGTAGCTATCTATAGTTTCTAATATTCTAAAATAATTTTTCCACCCCAATTGCGTTTTGTTTTTGAGCCAAATTAAAATTTTACATTTTAGTGTCAGTTCACAAGTTTGCCAGAAAAAAACTCCTTCATTTTTTACTCTCTCTCTCTCTCTCTGTTTTTAGAGTGTCAGTTCACAAGCTTGCTAAACAAACCCTTTATTTTCTTACTTACTCTCTCTCTTTAGAAGAATGGAAAATAATTAAAGATTCCAGATTCCTCGTCACATGTCAAAGCTTGGAATTTTGTATATAGTTTTTGTGCCTAAGAACCCGTAGTTGCATTCTTAACCTTTCAGAGAAAAAATAATAATAATAATAATAATAATAAAGCATAAAAAAACTGTATTCTTGCCTTTACCAGACAATGAAGGGTTTGTATACACGGGTGAGAGATTCTGATTGAGAGAATAACATATCTGAGCCATACCCAAATTAGTGTCGTCAATTGCATTATAGTTACCACCTCAACTTATTTGAGTTCATATTTTATTTTTAACTCAACTTTTTTTTGTTAAAAACGGTTTTTTTTTTTCTTTTTGCAATTAGTTTTCACATAGTTTTCTTTTTCTTCTTTTTCACAAATGCATAATTATGTTTGTAATTACAGAGTTTTTGTTGAGAAATATCCTGTCTTTAGTACTGAATAAATAACCAAGAAAATATAACTATAAGTTTGTGTATATTTGTTTCTAATTTGCATTGCTATTTATTCGTTTAATAAACATATTTTAAGGTCAAGAAATTAAACTAAATAGAGTTCATAGCTAAACTTATTAATCTTTTTTAACTTTTTATTATTTTTTTATTTTTTACTTTAGTTGGTGAAATAAAAGCCTTTTAAGTTGTATAGAGATTTGAGAGTAGATTTTTTCTAATTTGCATTGCTATTTATTCTATGGAGTTTATGCTTGATCTACAATTTTTTTTGGCTTGGTCTAACCATTTTGGGGTTGGATTTGGGGGCTTCGTACTCATCAATTATTGTTGGATTTAGGTATTTTTATGACTAGATGATGTGCTCTTATAGTAGCTTAGATTTGTGAGTAAAAAATTTTGAACTTATAATTCTTTCAAATTATTAGAGATGTTTTACCTATGCTCAAGTTGGACTAAACCCATACATTACTATAGCTAGATTATGGTTGTTTTGCTGGTAATTTCCTGATTATTTTTCAATTAGTGGTAGGTTGGTTCTCTAATTTAGTTAGTTTTGAAGAGAATATCAATTCTGCTAGTTATGTTAGTTTATGGTTTACTTTGATAAAACTAAAAAAAAAAAAAAGTTGGAATCTACTACTTGGGTCGGTGCCATGAAAAATGACCTTTTTTTCTTCTCATAATTGAACCTTACCCAATATATAAATGATACCATCTTTCTAATATGATTATTAGTTGAAATAATGAAATTAAATTACTATTAAGTAATGAAATCTTACAAACTCTTCCTTTTCACTTTGATAAACTTTAAACTTGACTTTTTGGAGATCTGTGAAGCCATGAAAATTAAGCCCCAATTTCATGGTATAATGTTTAGTATACACCTAGTAACAAAATAAATAAATAAATAAATAATAAAAAGTGGACTGTGGATAAGATCCAATTAAAGCCACTTTGTCTCCCTCTTATCCCTCTCCCATTACGTCAGAGAATGGTTGACATATGTGATGTTGCATTGCACTTATAGGGCTACTGTGTGGAGGCTCTTGTAGTGTGGGTATTATCTAGAAATCTATTTTTTTTGTTTGAGGAAAAAAAAAAAAAAAAAAAAAA